TCAGGAGAGAATGCTTCTGGAACATGGCCGTACAGCCCGGAAAACTCACAACAATCCAAATCAGACTTAATTAGCCTGAAGAAGAAATACTTAGAAGTGGCTTATCCTGAAGGACATATACAATACTCTCCAAATGAATGGAAAACAAATATTAAAAAAAAATCTAGAAATCAAGTTATTTTTTCCTCTATTCATTAAGATCCTGAAAGAAACGCTGTAATAAACAAATATATCAGACATTCAGTTCATAATAGGCTTCCACTTGTTAACATGAAAAGTGATGTAAAGTCATATAGGGAAATCCAGATGGATTGTTCTGGTAATTGTCTTTAGCTCTTCTTCCATTGTTTTCTCTCTCCAAAGGGAGACTACATGTACACATAGGATCTGTAGCTATGTTTTGTATTTTCGTCCTCTGTAGATGCCCCACATTCAGAAATACCTTGCAAACAAGCTCCCCTCTCTCCCTGCTAATAAATAAACATAAAAATTAAAATAGATTAGCATAAAAATGATAGCACAGCATCTGTCCTGCGAGGCCCAGCAAGCCAAACAATCATTTCGTGAGTCGCAATCAAAACCTGGAAGAGTTGAAAGACTTCTTCAGATCAATTATGGTCTGTGTCAAAATCTGAGAAGACTCCAGTGGCTCAATGGATGCTCCTCTTTGTGTCTCTGATCCTTATGCTTGTCAAGCCCGTTATCCACAAAAACAGCGTCTCTTTTGTTTCCTGCAGCGCCTCTTGAATCCGATCTATAACAACACAGGACAGTGAACTGAAAAATCTAGCCATGTTCTGCTTTGACACATGACAGACAAGCCCACGACTTCCCCCCATAAATGCAACATCAGCTGTGAAAAGGATAAGGCTCTCGTGCAAAATATTCTTCTGGAAGGAGGACAAATGTGAGCTTTTCTTGATCAGTAGTTTAGATTCCAGTGAAACAGTATTCCCCACCTCAAGGTCAACTCACTAAGTCTTCCCAGCACATACACAAAGCGCAATACTGTACTTCCCTAGCTATGTGCTCAAAAAGACAATCATAACGTGTGACCTGGATGAATGCCCCATACCCAAAATGTATGGGAATAGAAGTGCTTTGGATTTTATCTCCCCCCCCCCCCACAGATTTTTGAATACCCCTTTTTTGTGTGTCAGGAACTACTATTATGGAGCCCCTGGAGGTGCAGCAGGTTAAACCGCTGAGCTGCCGAACTTGTGACCAAAAGGTTGGCGGTTCAAATCCGGAGAGCAGAGTGAACTCCAGCTATTAGCCCCAGATTCTGCCAACCTAGCAGTCCAAAAACATGCAAATGTGAATAGATAAATAGGTATTGCTTTGGTGGGAAGGTAACAGCTCTCTATGCAGTCATGCTGACCACATGACCTCGGAGGCATCTACAGTCCAGRGACACAAGTCACGCAAAGGGCACTGTGAGGAAAGGGAGAACTCGCAGACAGATCTCAGACAGATCTCTTCAGGGGTATATCTAGATGGGAAAAGATGAGAAGCCTTTACCTCTGTTTATGTAGTGACTGCCTTTGTTAATTGTATAATGGCYTTGAAAACAAAACCAACCCCCAGAGTCAGACACAACTAGACTTAATGTCAAGGGAAAACCTTTACCTATACTAGTAACTTGAGAATCTGCAAGTCACTTCTYGTGTGAGAGAATTGGCTGCCTGCAAGGGCYTTGCCCAGGGGATGCCCAGATGTTTTACCATCCTATGGGAAGCGTCTCTCATGTCCCCAAATGGGAAGCTGGAGATGACAGATGGGAGCTCACCCCACTCCCCGGATTTGAACCACTGACCTTTTGGTCAGCAGTCCTGTCAGCACAAGGGTGTAATCCATTCTGCCACTGCGGGCTCCTTTGAATACCTTTATTCACATAAATGTAGGTAGTGTGAAATCTTGGCAATAGGACCCGAGCCTAAACGTGAAATTCATTTATGTGCCGTATACACTTTATGTATATAGCCTAAAGGTAATTTTATACAACTTTTAAAAATAATTTTGTGAATTGTACAGAGTTTGTATACATTGAACCATCAGAAAGCCACCCCTGTGGACAATTTTGAGTTTTGAAGCATTTTGAAATCCTAGATAAGGGATGCTCAACCTGTACTGTGGTCATAAGAGCAGTGCATCATGGGAATAGCTGCCAGAGAGATATAGACATGATCACTGGTTTAGATGTACACAGTCTATCTGTCAGATATATCATACATATCAATGAAATGTTATATGAATCAACTCCCAGACCAGAAGTGGGAACTGTATGGCCCTCCAGATGTAGTTGAATTGTGGTGAGCAGCATTTCTCACTTCCAGGTAAAGTTGGTATGCACCACAGTTCAACCATATCTAGAGGGAAGCACCATCACCACTTTCCTTGGCTTTGTTTCTAGATGAATGGTGCAGGTGTGTAGAGGAGGCAATATGGAGATGGCCTGCTACAAGACAGAAGGGAAGAACAATTGGTTCAGTTCTGGGGATGAACTAGTAACACTACAGATTCTAAAGGTAAAGGTTTGCCCTTAACATTAAGTCTAGTCGTGTCCGACTCTGGGGGTGGTGCTCATCTCCATTTCGAAGCCAAAGAGCCGGCGCTGTCCATAGATGCCTCCAAGTTCATGACTGCATAGAGCGCTGTTACCTTCCAGCAGATCTACTCACATTTGCATGTTTGAACTGTTAGGTTGGCAGAAACTGGGGCTAATAACAGGAGCTCACCCCACTCCCCGGATTCAAACTGCCAACCTTTTGGGCAGCAAGTTCACCAGTTTAACCCACTGCACCATTGGGGGAGCCCTAAAACACTAATAGCATGGATTCTAAAGGCCCCTAATACACTATTCTCGGCTCCTCACTTCAGTTCAGTGACACAAGCCACCCCAAGGGCACTGTGAGGAAAGGGAGAGCTTGTAGACAGATCTTGGTCCAGCAAAAGGCAGATGCCCTTCAGGGGTATATCTAGATGGGGAAAGATGGAAAGCCTTTACCTCTGCTTATATAATGTCTGTGTTTGTTAATTGTATAATGGCATTGAATGCTTGCTGTATATGTGTACTGTAATCTGCCCTGAGTCCCTTCAGGGAGATAGGGAGGAATATACATAAAGATTATTATTATTATTATTATTATTATTATTATTATTATTATGCAGTTTAACACCACTTTAAGAGCCATGGTTGACTGCTATGGCATTCTGGGGTGATTTGATGATGAGGCAACCAGCACTCTTGGGCTGAGCAGGCTAAGGAGCTTGTAAAACTACAATTCCTGGGATTCCCTGGCACTTAAATGGGATGTCAAATTGAATCCAGTGTAGCTCAGAGCTTTCCAAAGGATGTGACAGGTAAGTGTGTTGACTGCAGTGTGCAGATGTGTTGTGTGTCTGTAACGAGAAACCTCAGAGTCTATGTGAAATAAGCAATACATCATGTGTGGTATGATTTTCATGAGATATGTTGTATATACCCATACATTTGATGCTCACAATTTATGGACATGTTTCTATCTCTTTTAAGAGGTTGGTGTAACCCAAGCATGGGCAAATTTGGGCTCTCCCTCCAGGTGTTTTGGACTTCAACTCCCACCATTCCTAATAGCCTCGGGCCCCTTCCTTTCCCCCCTCACCCATTTAAGTGGCTGAGGGTGAAAAGGAAGGGACTTGAGGCTGTTAGGAATTGTGGGAGTTGAAGTCCAAAACACTTGGAGGGAGAGCCCAAGTTTGCCCATGCCTAATTTAACCTCTGGTTTGCTCTTTGGAAAGCTCTGGCGCACCCTCAGAGAGGCTCCATTTTCCTACACTGTCCTATATCTCAGGATTTGACCCCAGATTATTTGCTTTGAACTGGATTATATGACTCTACACCAGGCATGGGCAAACTTTCAAACTTGGGGGCTGCATGGTGAGCCTGAGTGGGGTGAGCGGGCCAGGAAGGAGGGGATCCTGCCCAAGTCCCCTGCCTGCCCAGAGGAAGACAACTTTTCTCTCCTGTCACACCCACCTCCCACTTTCATTCTTTCTTTCTTTCTCTCCGCAACACATCAAGCACACACCTCTCCCCTTGGAGGCTCAGCCTTTACACCTGCAGTTCCCAACCCCTGGGCCATGGCCCACTGGTGGGTTGCGAGGCCTAAAATAAGGTCCACAGCCAGGGGTGCGTGCCGCCATTGTAGGAGAGAGAGAGAGAGAGAAGGAAGGGGAAAGGGAGAGAAGGAAGGAGGGAGGGAGGAGGAATGAGGGAAGGAAGGAAGGACAAAGGGGAAAAAGGAAGAGGAAAGGAAGAGAGAGAAGGAGGGAGGAAAGAGGGAAGGAAGGAAGGACAAAAGGGGGGAAAGGAAGGAAGGGGAAAGGGAGAGAAGGAAGGAGGGAGGGAGGAAAGAGGGATGGACAAAAGGGGAAAAGGAAGAGAGGGAAAGAGGGAGAAAAGAGGGAAGAAAGGATAAAAGGGGAAAAGGAAGAGAAGAAAGGAGGYAGGGAGGAAAGAGGGAAGGAAGAAAGGATAAAATGGAAAAAGGAAGGAAGGATTGGGAAAGGAAGAGAAGGAGGGAGGGAGGAGGAAAGAGGGAAMGAAGGTAGGGGAAAMGGAGAGAGAGAAGGAGGGAGGAAAGAGAGAAAGATGGAAGGACAAAAGGGGGGGAAAGGACGGAAGGAAGGGGGAAGGGAGAGAGGAAAGGAGGAGGAAAGAGAGATGGAAGTAAGGATGAAAGAGTGAAAGGGAAGGAAGGAAGGAGAAAGAGAAGGATGGAAGGAGGAGGGAAAGAGAGAATTGAAGGATAGGATGGTGAGAAAGAGAAGGGCCTGAGAAAAGAGCCCAAGGGGCCTGGTTGTGCCCATACGTGCTCTATAGTGCCAGATGATCTGGGGCGAGATCCTGAGCTATAGGGCAGTGTAGAGGAATGGAGTCCCAGTGTAGCTCCAGCCTAAGCAACTGGCGGGGGAAGACCACACTCATTCCAGGAGACCCCGAAAGAAAGAAGACTTGCCTTGGCTTCCCATCCTCCGGAAGAGGTCCAGTCCAGGGCGTTGGGCATGAAGGGGACCAAGGCGCTGACGGATGCGTGTTAAGGCGCATGTTTTGCAGAGACGGAGCAAGGAAAGGACAGAGGTGAGGAAGGCTTCTGCTCCGAGGGAAGCGTCCTAGCGTTATTTGGGAAGGGACTGGAGGGGGACTGCTTTCCAGGAGGCGAAGGCAAGCCGCAGAGGAGGAGGAGGAGGAGGAGGAGGAGGGCCCTTCTCAGGCGGAGTTGGAGGCGCTCCGGAGCCGGGCCGCTCCGCCGGGCATCGGTGGTTGCTGCTGCTGCTGTTGTTGCTGGAGGACGAGGTGCTGCTGCTTCTGTCGAGTGGAGCGCACGGCCAGGATGGCCTGCCGGTTCTTGTACTGGACCAGCTGGAGCGTGATCTCGGCGTTCCAGCCCTGCTCCTGCGGGCAGCGGAAGTCCACCTCCTTGCCCTCGGCCATCACCACCGTGAAGTAGACGTACTTGCCCTTGCGCTCCACGCAGTCCACCGTCTTCATGGTGGCGAAGGGCAGCTCCTTGATCTTGGCCTCCGAGGAGGAGGAGGAGGAGGAGGGCGGCGGCGAGGCGGGCACCCCGTTGGCGGCGGCTCCGGGCTCCGGCTTGGCGGGGATGAGCAGGAGCCCTTCCTCGGTCAGGACGCAGCGCTTCTTCTTCCAGAGCTGGAGCAAGCCGTCGCTCCGCTTCTCCAGGACGCCTTCCTTCACCGGCTTGCACACGCTGCCCACGCCGCTGCTCTCCAGCATCCTCCCGAGAGCAGAGCCAGGAAGGCCCGAGAAGCGAGGCAGGGCGGCAGCGTGCCTGGGGTGCTCCCCTCCTTCTCCTCCTCCGCCAGCTCGCCTTCCTTCGGGGAGGGTCTGGCAGCCCCTCAATCGCTGCCTCAGTCCGGAGGCTTGCTTTCCCCTTCTTCTTCTTCTTCCTCCCTTGCTCTGCAGCAGCGCCCAAGAACAAAGCGCCACTGCTTCTTCTCCTGCTGCTGCTGCTGCTTCTCCTTCTCCCGCGCTGGCCGTTTGCGCTCCTTTAAACTCCGGAGGAGTCCGCCTCCAGGGTGGGAAGGGAAGAGAGGAAGAGAGGGAGGGAGGGAGGGGAAATCACTTTTTAATGGACAGAGGCAGGACGGAGACGGGGCGCCCCCGCAGGAATGCGCTTCCCACAGAAAGGCTGGCTCATTGCGAAGCCCAGCCCAACTTCTGCCTTAAGGAAACCAACCCACGCGCGCCTGGAAAGCAGAGGGCAGGCAGGACTCTGACAGTCTTCCTCTGGGGTTTTTTCCCCGCGTCAGGAGCAACTTGAGAAACTGCAAGTCGCTTCTGATGTGAGAGAATTGGCCGTCTGCAAGGACGTTGCCCAGGGGACGCCTGGATGTTTTGATGTTTTACCATCCTTGTGGGAAGCTTCTCTCATGTCCCCGCATGAGGAGCTGGAACTGACAGAGGGAGCTCATCCGCGCTCTCTCCGGATTCGAACCTGCAACCTGTCAATCTTCAGTCCTGCTGGCACAAGGGTTTAACCCACTGCGCCAACGGGGGCTCCTATATTTCCTCTGGGTGATAATATGATAGCTGGGTCCGGAAGCTCCGAGCGTTTACACACATTCCGCAACGCAGTTGTGAATAAGGGAAGGGGAGAGCGGCACACTGAGGGCAGGAATATACTTCCTAGTTGCATTTGGTGGAAGGATAGAAAGGAGGGGAGGGTTAGGATAAGGTTTAGGCTAAGGTTTAGGGGTAATCGTGTGATAGCTGGGTCTGGAAGCTCCAAGCATTGCGCACATTCCACAACAGCAATTGTAAATAAGGGGAGAGCGGCACACTGAGGGCGGGAATATACTTTGTAGTTGCATTTAGTGGAAGGATAGAAAGGAGGGGAGGGTTAGGATAAGGTTTAGGCTAAGGTTTAGGGGTAATAGTATGATAGCTGGGTCCGGAAGCTCCAAGCGTTACACACATTCCACAATGGCGGTTGTGAATAAGGGAAGGGGAGAGCGGGACACTGAGGATGGGAATATACTTTGTAGTTGCATTTGGTGGAAGGATAGAACCGAGGGGAGTTAGGATAAGGTTTAGGGGTAATGTACATTTTCCCCTGGCATCATATTTTTGCCCATTGAGTACAATTGTCTTACCTGGGAACTTGGAAGTACATGCACTAGTTTAGATACCATCACCTTCAATAGTACTGCTCTAGCATATTAATATGCTTAAACAACTATATAGTCCTCTGTTAAAGGTTGTGTGGTGTCGTGGTTTAAGCCTTAGATGACAACTCGAGAGGATTTGGATCTCCACTCAGCCATGGAAACCCACTGGGTGACCTTGGGCAAGTCACTCAATCTCTGCCTCCGAGAAAGGAAAACCTCTTCTCTGTTGCTAAAATAAAGGTTGCCATGAATTGGAAACAACTTGGAAGGAATGAATAATCTACTCCAGTGTACATGTACTGTGTTAAGGAGGATTTACACATAGATGAATATGCACAGGTCGCCAAATCATAAAGGTTTTTTTCATCCCAGGTTTTGTTGATACACAACTCCTTATTTCACACAGCTGTAAATCCACAGAATTCCCAAGGAACTGTTTCCACTTTTACTGTACTAACAAGTCTACTTACATTTCAGAAGGCAGAGCCAAACTTCTGCAAGACTCAATGCTATTTTGAAAGCTTCGTAATTTCCACAAATACTAAACTTGTAAACACAAGGTGGATTGATATTGTTGAATTCAGTTTGCCACCATTTTAACTGGCATAGTGCAATGCTATGGAATCATGTAAATTGAAGTTTGGTGAAGCACCAGCCCTTTGACAAAGACATTTCTAGGTCAGCCAGGTGAGTTTATGGTCAACCTGCAGCAGAATTGGACCTTGAATTCAATATTTAGTGAAGTCTTCTCCCAGGTGAAAAAAAATTAAAAATTTCATTTTTGCACTTTTGAATGGATGCTGAACTCCCACCTTCTGAAAACAGGACTACTATACTGTTAAAAATAGATATCGTTGCTGAGACACTGATGTGAAGGCAGAAAGTAGTGACCAGGTGAAGTCTATATACAACTTTGCCTTCTAAGTGATTAGGTATACAGGAAGCGAGTATACAGATTTAAGAAATAATAAAAAATGGAGCCAGTGTGGTGCAGCGGTTTGAGCACTGGATGACTCTGGAGACCTGGGGTGAATGCCTGCTTAGCCATGAAAATTCATTGATGCTTACTTACTTACTTACTTAGGCGATCCCTCGTTGGCCAAGTGGGACAGTCTTCCAGGATCAGAATTCTTGTGAGTCTGTAGGTGGCTGTGGAGCCCTATTCTTGATCTGCATCTTCTTCCGCAGTGAGGGCATTGGTTTCCAGGTGGGAGGCGGTCCCAGTTGGGGTTGGCTTGACGCGCCTTCCTCTTGGCACGTTTCTCTTCACCCTCCATTCATGCCTCTTCAAATTCTGCAGTACTGCTGGTCGCAGCTGACCTCCAACTGGAGCGCTCAAGGGCCAGGGCTTCCCAGTTCTCAGTGTCTATGCCAGAGTTTTTAAGGTTGGCTTTGAGTCCATCTTTAAATCTCTTTTCCTGTCCACCAACATTCCGTTTTCCGTTCTTGAGTTTGGAGTAGAGCAACTGCTTTGGGAGACAGTGGTCGGGCATCCGGATAACGTGGCTGGTCCAGTGAAGTTGATGGCGGAGGACCATCGCTTCAATGCTGGTGGTCTTTGCTTCTTCCAGCATGCTGACGTTTGTCCGCCTGTCTTCCCAAGAGATTTGCAGGATTTTCCAGAGGCAGCGCTGATGGAATCGTTCCAGGAGTTGCATGTGACGTCTGTAGACAGTCCACGTTTCGCTTATAGCAGGGTTGGGAGGACAATAGCTTTATTAAACAAGCACCTTGGTCTCCCTATGGATGTCCCAATCCACAAACACTCTCTGCTTCATTGAAAAATGCTGCACTCACAGCTCAGGCGGTGTTGTATTTCAGTGTCAATGTTGACGTTTGTGGAGAGGTGGCTGTCAAGGTAGCGGAAATGGTCAACATTTTCTAATGTTACACCATTAAGCTGTATCTCTGGCATTGGAGAGGGGTTGGCTGGTGACTGCTGGAACAGCACTTTGGTTTTCTCGATGTTCAATGACAGGCCGAGCTTCTCATATGCTTCTGCAAAGGTGTTTAGAGTGGGTTGTAGATCTTCTGAATGCACAAAGATGATGTTGTCATCAGCATACTGGAGTTCTATAAGATGTTGTTGTAACCTTGGTTTTGGCTTTCAGTCTGCTAAGGTTAAACAGCTTGCCATCTGTCCGATAGATGATTTCCACTCCGGTGGGAAGCTTCCCATCAACAAGGTGAAGTATCATAGCGATGAAGATGGAGAATAAAGTTGGGGCAATAACACATCCCTGTTTGACACCTGATTCCACCTTAAATGGGTCACTTTGGGAGCCACTGCTGTCCAAGACTGTTGCCATCATGTCATCATGGAGGAGCTGCAGGATGTTCACAAATTTGTTTGGGCACCCGATTTTTTGGAGGATGGTCCAGAGAGCGCTGCGATTCACTGTGTCGAATGCCTTTGCAAGGTCAATGAATGCCATGTACAGAGGTTGATTTTGTTCCCTGCATTTTTCTTTGAGCTGTCGTGCAGCTGTCGTGCAGTGAAGATCATGTCCACGGTTCCTCTGGAAGGAGGAAGCCGTTCTGATATTCTGGGAGGGTGTCTTCTGAGAGGGGGCAGAAGGTGGTTTGCAAGGATTCTTGCAAGGATTTTCCCAGCTGAGGTTAGAAGGGCGATACCTCGGGATAGTTTTCGCAGTCTGTTCTTTCCCCTTTTTTGAAGAGGGTGATGACGGTGGCATCCTTGAAATCTGCTGGGATTTTCTCAATCACCCACACTTTTTCTATGAGCCGGTGGAGTTGTTGTGTCAGCTCAGGTCCTCCCTCTTTAAAGATTTCAGCAGGGATCCCATCAGGTCTGCTGGCTTTGTTATTTTTTTTTTTTGTTGGCTGATGGCATTGCTGACTTCTTCCAAACTAGGCAGTGCTGCAAGCTCATCCCTGATTTGTTGTTACGGGATTTGTGAGAGAACCTCTTCGGCCACATTGGCGCTGTGGTTCAGGAGGCTTTGGCAGTGTTCTTTCCAACATAGTGCAATTGATTTTTGGTCCTTCAGGAGTTTGGTTCCATCTGATGAGCGGAGAGGTTGTATGCCATGGTTCCTTGGTCCATAGATGACCTTTGTGGCTTTGAAAAATCCCTGAGCATCATGGTATTATTGATGACCCTGGGTGAGTCACAATCTCTCAGCCCCAGAAGCCTCCTTGATAGGTTACCATAGATCAGAAGTTAAGGCCACAAAAGAAACAAAAAGTAAGTCTTCATTCTATTTATAACTTCTTTTAAAACAAATTTGGATTCCTTTCTCTCCCTGGATTGTATTTTATGATGCCTTACAAAGTTCAACAGCAGACAAGCAACAATGGGTGCCAGCCTTACCATGCACCTCTGAATGCATGAAAGATCAACAGAGATACAGTGATGCAGTCATCCTGCCATTCTGGAATTCCATTTCTGAAGGCCTCAAATGTTTCCAGATTAATTAAACAGCTGCAAAAAATGTTTTTCATCTCCTTACTGGTCTAACCACTCATCTCACTAAGACAAAGTTTTGATGCTATTTAAAAACTCGTTTAAGCATAGCAGAGATTTTTGAAGCATCCCTTCATTTGCCATTGAAATATTTAGGCAGAAAGGCTAAATTTTAAATATTTCAATGTAGATACATACACAGTGCAACTATAGCTATATATTGTGTCAGAAATGAAGGTTATACTATATCAGATCATTAGAAGACTATTCATTTTGTGTACATCTTTTCTACATCAGATGGAGGCAGCACATGAACAGCTAATTTGGTGTTCAATACCATAGCACACAGATGCCATCTAGTGTTAAACTAAACATTATGTTTATTTGTGTGCCGCATGCACACTACTGCCATCTCCCTAATTGCTTTTATCCACAATTGATGAATGTAAGAAATAAAACAGATTTGCACTTTATTTACATGTACTGTATTATTCAGGCACCAGGTC